GAAGTTCCCCCTAACAATGTTATCTCAGGAGATTCATCGAAACCAAGTTTCTCTTCGTATCTACTAATATTTCTTTTTAGAATTAAGTATTGTTTTCGTGACTACCAGTGAATCAGTAATATGAGATGTATTCACCCAATTTCGTTTACTGGTAGAAGAAGAATTTTCCCACAATAACATGAGTTGAGCTGACGTTTACATTGAATTTCACATTGTCTTGATTTCCCAAAAGTTGTTCTCATCCCGGCTGAGGTGGACTGCAGTTTCGACCTCGTTCCGGTCTTATCAACACCCTCAGCGGGAGTCGAAGCGCGACAGTACAGGATGGTAGCTTGGCGCCCTAACTACTCAGCTACACTGCCACGAGCGCCTTTTGGGTCACAGGGCAAATGTGAATTTTTAAGTAGGGCCAGGCCGTTTTGCCATATTATATTCTTTGGTGGGATTGTTGGTAAAGCAAACGTATGTTTTGCTATAACAATCGACTACTATACTTTATTTTTCGAATTAAGTATTGTTTTCGTGACTACCAGTGAATCAGTAATATGAGATGTATTCACCCAATGGAAACGTCAGCTCAACTCATATCATTGTGGGAAAATTCTTCTTCTGCCAGTCCTTCATCACCTTAAACGAAATTGGCCGGATACATCTCATATTTCTCATATTTAGTTTTTCACACGATTTCCTCACCCAAAACAGAAGTGGATCTCTCATTTAATTGGGGTCGCCTCTCCAGACTGTTAGAACTTAGAGCTGAACTGAAACTGAACCACACGACCCTGATTTCACGACACATCTTCAAGAGGCTAGATTGCTTAACTGTATCGCCTGGACGACATACAAACTGATTTGGTATGACTGTGGGAGAGAATGGTATTGTAAAGCTTCGGTAGATTAATATGAGCATATAAATTCTAATAACTGTTGCAACCCGACAGCAGCAACGGGTTCTTGTGCTGTTAAGCCGCTCATTCGAGATTCGATATACACAGTTCCCATGTTCCCCCCCTCGCAGCCAATGGCTCCTGGTCCTGGTACCGATCCCGTTTCCGTCCCCTTCGAGTAGGTCGTCATCGTGAAAAAATCGCCTGTATCTTAATTGATTATTGGCACCGACGTGGGCATTCGAGGCGACCAACGGGTGGGCAACTAGGGCAGGTAACCAAGTGCACGTCAAAATGATGTATTGGACGTGTCAAATGGAGACATCTACCGCTGGGTCGTTTTCACGCGTCACATGTCGTCTTCGCGCCACCCGCATACAGTCCAACTGACGGCCAAGCCTATCATTGCCATGGCTACTGGGGCTCTCTCTGCTGAGGCTGTTTATCTCGCCCTCCGGGCCATGTCGTCACCCTCACGAAGACGATCACATTTGCTGCGGTCATTCTCTCACCGGACATTCGCTTTCAACTGGCTGTAACCCCCCCACTTTGACATGTGCTGGTTGTTTATAACCGGACGCCTGGTTAATCATTTTAGGCAGCAAGTGATTCTTTTTTTTACCTTCGATACCTCCACATGTAGGCCATGAGACACAGACGAAGCATGGTTTAGCCCTCTTTCCCTCCCGCCCGATTGGCTGTTTCGGCCGCTATTCAAGAGCGATCGTGTGTACTTTTGCAAAAGAGGTTCCGGCAAATGGTGTTTTTCATCTTAAAGCCTTGCAAGGTCATCATTCTAAGTGGCCTGGCAACCATGCAAGTTGACCAGGTCGACTGAAACTTTTCGCTAGCTTCTCCCATCAATCAGCATCATCATCATTTATGTCAAGCCGACTTTCCCACTTAGTTACCGACGCACACGTTCGGGCTACGATCTGTACAAAGTGTCGATGCGAAAACCGGTTCGCCGGGACTGCAGGCTCAGCCTAACTGGCTGGATCAACTCGGTTGGGAGACTTGATCCCTTCATCTCGGCAAAAACAGAAATTGTACAGCTACACATATCAAGCATTGTCTCACAAATCGTCTCGTTGACTCAACCCATGCACAATGAACCTATTCCTGGTATATTCCGGTACATTCTGGCCAAAATGGCGAATTTCCCTGACGGTTGTGATCATCCGTCTTTTTGGTGACGTGAACGACAGGCTTCAAAGTTCCATTTGCTTCTTCTTGATTGATGAAGTTATCCCATCCTTTTTCTCCTCGCGATCCCCTTTTATCTGCTTAACGATAGGCTCTTGATCCAGGCGTATCCACTTTGCTGGTCCTTCCATATCCTTGTTTTCTCATAGTTTGCTTGAGGAATAAGTACGGGTATCGCTAACGCTAAGATTTGAAGAAAAATTGGCTTTGAAGACTTCTTTGACTCTCCATTTCGTAGGGAAAGTTAAGTGTTTTCTCCTAGTTTGCTTGAGGAATAAGCACGGGTAACGCTAACGCTAAGATTTGAAGAAAAATTGGCTTTCGAAGACTTCTTTGGCTCTCCATTTCGAAGGGAAAGTTGATTGGAAGGAGTTTGTTATGCTGTCTGAACGGAAACCGATGGACAATTGTTGCGTAAGGAAGACTGTTATATTGAGCGAAGAAGTCGTCGGATCAACGCCATGTGACTCCGATGAAACTGTGCTAAGTTGTCGTCGGTACCACTCTTACAGACATCATCAGAACAGGGTTGCCTACTTTACGAGATAGAGCAAAAATATACCAAA